CTGTTCGGCAACCAATGGGCGACAGACGAAGGCGGTAATCCCCTGCATTTAGATCACAGATGGTTATCATGGGTCAAGAATGGGGTATGGAAAGTAGGCCACCTATGGAGTGAAGAAAGGAAAGAGTGGGTAACCGAACAGGAGCTGAGCACGCAGTTGAAGGGATGTCATAGGCGTGGATCTAACCTCCAATACATTATTAACCTCATCCCTCAAGACTGGAAAGATACCTTGTGTGAAGCGTCACCGTGGAGAGTGGGGGGTTAAGGTACAAGAGTCGCCTCCCTCACGAGCCTTCCAATTCTCCCACATGCAACCGGGTTCGACCACCACAGCGTTCTTCTCCTCCTTCCCGATTTCCCCTTCCAAACATGAGATAGCGTCTATATTAAACAGAGAGGTGGAATCGGTAGTCATGGACTTCTTTCTACTTAGGAAGGTAAGAGTACTAGGGTCGTGGCCTAAATCAATCTTCAGACCAGACACGTCAGTCCAGAACCTGACCCGGCAGAATGGGCCTGGACACCGGACAGGGAGAGGAATGTCAAGTCCAAGGTCCCCATATACGACTATACAGTTAAATTCGGCTACATACAAGATGTCAAAAAAATGATCCCACCAGTTCGGACCTATGCATAGTCTGTACAGATGGGGCTCAAGACTACATAGTTCACTGCCAAATCCAATGTAGTGAGGCGACAGATTACTGGGCACAGGCCTCAGCCCTCTGGGATTCCCTCTTCCATGCCCCCTTCCCCGAGCACCCCATCCAAATCCTCCTCTGGACTAACATCCCCGATTATCTTCAGAAGACAGAGAGGTTGTGGTTCGGACTGATCAGGAAAGTGACTCTATGGATCAGTTGGAAGGAAAGATGCTCCAGGACTATCGAAGGACTGTCCAACCTAAGAGAGAAGGTATGGGCGGAGACAAGATCTATGCGACAGGCTGAAATTCTCTGCAGATGGCAGAGGTTAAGGCTGTTGATGCCTGAGGACGAGGACCAGCAAGAAAAGGTTAGGAAGAAGTTTACCAGACAGTGGCTGGTGAATGGTAAGGTGGCTGAGTTACGTAATGACCGAGTGTGCTGGAAAGACTGGCACAATTCAGAAGCAGGCCGGAGGCCCCAGACCACACCTGCAGCGGATGGGCTGATGAGCTGAAGTGAGAAAGGTGCCACATCAGGTACCAGGCATCAGGTACGAGGGCAAAGACATGGCTAAAGGACTTCTAAAGTGGGGACTAGGAGGAGGAGACTTTGCTCAGACCCAGACGCTGCGAAGACTGTCTCAGACAGGACAAGCAATCCGAAGGACCTAAGGATACATAGAGAGACAGGAATCCATAACGAAATTCAAAGGTCAAGGACCAAGGTTGAGGACACAAGAGGTGGGGCAAGACTGAAATCTAAGGCCAGGATAGGACAAACTGACAAGAGTATAGACTTACCACATACCCGGGTTCAGGACGGAACATACGGTATTCTTCATTAATCGAAGGATAGGTACCGTATAAGTTATGGATCTGGAAGTGAGGACACATAAGTGGGCCAAGTTGCTATGGACCACAGTTTACAGGTCGCTATCAATGGAAGGCTACTAGAGAAGGTATACCACTTGAACGAATAGGGTAGGGGCTAGGGTTAAAGGGGTTAGCCAGACGGTAGCGACTCAAGGGTTTAGGGTTTAAGGGTTTTAGCCAGCCAGTTCAAGGTAGCAGAGGCTAGGCCTACTTTAAAGTACTGTAAATAGGGTTAAGGCGGCTTGGTAGACAATAGGCGGTTTTTTTGGGGAGGCTGAGGGGTGGGAGTGGTCGTTGCTGCTAAGGGCCTTTCTTGGTTTCTCGTTTCTAACTGACAGGTTCCTTCAGTGGGCCTGAGAGGAAAGGGTTTAGCGGGGCAAGCTGACAGTCAATCCTCCATATACATGGAGTAATCAATGCTGGTCAGGGGTCCTTCGGCCGTACGGAAGGAAGCGTGTGTGAATTGCTCATGTTGTGTTATTTTTTCTGACTTGCCGGTGGAATAGGAACCGGACTGCCGCTCCCCAGAATGGAAATGGAGCCAGGGCCATAAGGACTTGTTTAGATTAAAAAAAAAAATAATAATAAAAAAAAAATGATTGACCCATCAGGGTTGTGTTCGGGAGACATACTTGTTCTATCTTCCCTACCATCCCCGTGCTTTTACTCTCTTGTTGACGAAGTTCTGAACATGACATGCTGAGTGGATGCGTTGCAAACTGTATGCTGTCACCTTCGAATTGAAGGAGTTTCACATTAACCGCCTACAGGGTCCCTGATGCATCCGCAGAATAGTCCGTGTGAAGCGAAGGCCTGGAATACCAGGTATACAAACAGATCACGCAAAAGAAGGGTACCTGGTACACCGCGAAGGGCCGGGACACTGCGCCCTGCGCGGGGGCCTCGGTATTGTTCTGATGTTGCCGGATGTGTCAAGGGTTGCTCTTTTTTTTAACTGTTTTAGGCTTTTAGCGATAATACGGTGCTTTCACGAAGCATGAAGTAGCTGGTAATAGCCTGGTATGGACTATATGCGGTGCTTTCACAAAGCGTGAAGCAGCTGATACGCATTTCATTGGAGCGGAGATAACGCTCACATACTCTGCGATTCATGGAAAGTGGAGTAGCCTTTTCCCCAGTTATTCTGTAAAAGTGTTTACCATTTCTCAATTTGCACGTCATCCTTGCGACAAGGATGTAAACACACATGTAAAACACCGTCTCTCTCTCAGATACACAAATGAAAAACAAACAAACAAAATCCTGCTCTCTCCCCCCCCCCCCCAACACACACACAAGGGGCAAATTGCACAACTTACGTGATCCGTGCGTGCAGTGTGCACACACGACTCTCCTGCACTCACACCTCATAGGTGCACCCCAAGTATGCTCCAAAAATGCCAACTGTTGAAAATCCACACACGAGTAAGGTGCGAATACATTGAGTATGCTGCTCCAGAACTGGACAGGAAGGGCCTACATTCGCCTCCTACACCTCAAAAGACAGCTACCATCATCTTCTTTTCCTATCCCGTCTCCTCAAGATCACAAGACAGCCTTCCTATCGACCGCCTGTAACCCTAGTCCCCTGCGCCCAACTCACTACCAGATTTCTGCTGTCCCAGCATTCCCTCTGAAAGCTGTATCCCCAATTCCCTTTGCCCCCTTTTGCGTGTCATTCTTGCACAGGGACCATGCTAATCTTCTCTGCATCATTCCAATTTCGATGGATGTCCCAATGGACATCCATGATCCTTTTTCTAACTCCTTGAGGAGTTCTTTTTGCTTTTTCTGTTTTTTAAATCTATTTCTGAGGCCTCTCCCACCTGACCTCAACGTTTTCCCTGGCGCACCCCCTACTCCTGCACCTTGAGGAACACCAAGGAACACCCCCCAACATTCCACACGATCTACCGAGGAGTACTTGCAGGCACCAGCGCTGGGTGAGACAGCCCGCCCAGACCTGGATAATGCAATTATTGGAGAAGCATTGTTGTACGGGCAATTTGAATTCCAGGCATGATCAATGTGCCATTGTGTACTGGCCACATGCGCTAACCATTTAGGCTCCCCTCCCCGACTTTGTGCACCTAAAGTATCCGCACTGGGGCCACCTCTTCTCCTGGAGGGGTTAGGGCCAGATTACTCTGAAGGAGGGGTTTGTCGGTTGGGCTGGGTGATAACTTGCTGCAGGGGCAGGGTAGTGTCAAAAGGTACCCTACTCTGGAGAGGGGGTGCTGGGTGGTTCGTACTATCTACAGGGGGGAAGTGTGACGGTTGGGATGTGTGAGAACTTCTCTGTTGGGCACCATCGGGTTTGGGTGCTGATAGTCGCTGCAGGAGCACAAGCAGACTAGGATGACGTGGGGTTATCATGTAAAGGCTGATAACTCTAACTGGGTGGCAGGGTAGAGTCAAGGGGTGTGCCAAGAGGGGATGGTTGGACCACCATAGTGATGTCCCGGCAGAGTGGTGCTCCCGACCAAGCCCCAACATACTATCTACCGATCCCACTCCCTATCAATTGAGCTGTGCTAACAGGGGCTAAGTGCATGCGGTGTCATGCTGTTACACCAACAGGTGCATACAGAGGAGGTTGGGACCGACTGAAATTGAACCCACAACCTCCTGATTGAGCTCTGCCCCTGAGCTACTGCCACACACGTCGTCATGTGTGCAGTAATAATGAAAAAGTTGGCATTTTGTTGAATTCGTTGGACGCTTCATTTTGACTCGGACAGTGTCTTTGTGTTAGGGTTTCATAGTGTTTTTTTGTTTTTTTTTTCGTTCTTTTTGGCCTGTTTCCTTTTTTGATGTTTGCACTATGGTCTCGTATCCTTTGTTTTTAAAATTTTTGATGAAATTCGCACCGCAATTGCCAACGAAAAGGGCGAATATTTGGGCCCCCGTTAACCGTCTCTCCCACTGATTGCAGAGCAGATATTGTTAGAGAGTGAAAACACTGCAGGTTCTGAGGAAATCAAGATATCAACAGAGTGGAATTCAACCCAGGTGTCCCTTAGGACATCTGTTAATTGGAACGATACATAGAAGATCACATGACCCCTTGGCAAGGATGATACACACAAATCGAGAAATGGTTCAAAAACACAGCTCATGTAGCTGAATGCCACACTCATGTAACTGTCAATAAGCAGATCATGAGTTCAACTCGTAAGGATGAATGCAATAATGTTATATGGTGCCCGCTTTTTGTAAAAGGAAGAAAGAATCCAACCGAGGAGCATGGGATGAGTAAGCAACAGGAGACAACATAAGCAATAATAAACTGTATTAGAAGTCTAGCCAACTTGTGCAGGAGAATGAGACAGCTTTGAAGTTTGAACCAATGGGACCCCATAATGAATCAGAAATGGGCCAAGGTTTGGTGTTGGTGTGGTTAACCCCTTTGGACTGAATGCTGCCTTGGTTGGGCGCTGATTTGTTCAACTTCGTTGGTGGTTGGGTTTTCTCTACAGCGGAGTCCAGCATACCGGACTCTTCCAAGATCTATGGCATGCCTCAGGGGGGTGGAAAGCATTTTCGACAATTCAGTTGTGAACATGATTGTGAGATCGACCGCATGGCAAATTCTTCTATCAAGGGTATGCCTCATCAACTTGCCCCCACACATGCAGGGTGGGCAGATGGGTGAGATTTGTTGTCGGGCTGAACTGGAAATCAAGAATCTGTGCACATCCTTGGCAGTTTTTAAAACCTTTTTTGGGATTGTAGATTCAACATCTCTGGTTGAGCACATCCCTTTCCTTAAGTGTGGGGGAGGTCCACTCCTCATATCCTATCCCACCAACGCCATGTAAGTACTGCCCCCAAGCATTGCAGGAAGATGTGCTCTATGGTTTTGCAGTCTGCATACCAGGCAAAACGTGGAGGTTGCTACCTCCTGACCCCCTAACTGTGGATTGTATAGTGCCTCTATCGTTGTTCTACGTGAACGTGTGCGGGCCAGGCTGAATAACTTTTTATCCATTGACCCTTCAGTCTGATGATGGGTCAATTGTCCCCTAATGCATGTACCTTCCCAGTGTTGTGTGGCAAAAACCTGAAGTTGTTGTTGCAGGGACTGTAATTCCAATTGAGCCTCCGACGACACTTGTGAATGTCCGTGTGAGTCATTTATCCTGCTGTTCAAGACCAAGGTAAATCAGTCCACTGAACCAGTCTGTTTCCCCGTGAATGTGTTGCTTTTGCATATGCCAGAACGTCCAACAATCTTTGATGTAGTTTTGGAAAGACTTCTGTTGTGGGATGGATACATCCAGTTTGTTCTCAGTCAGACACATGCAGATCATAAAACACACTTGCCTAGTGTATTCCCACAAAGAGATAAGTCTGACTTTTGTCAACAAGCAAACTGGCTGATTTAGCAAAGCGCCCGGATAAGTCGATACGACATCATGTTCGGGCCCATTCAAACCATTTCAAGCAAACGACAACAAAGTGTCTGGGTAAGTCGATACCACATCACGCTCAGTCCCATTTCAAGCTTTTCAGGCAAACAAGAGCAAAGTGTCCGGATCATACTTGCAACCGCACGAGCCACACATTCGTGCGGAGTTCTGTACGAAGTTCCGTGCGGGGGGTACCTGTGCGGAATCGTGCAGGTTTTTTATTTTTATTATTATTATTATTATTTTTTTTGGGAGGGGGAACGGGGGGGCATATGACAGGAAGATGGGGATATGGCAAGGAGAGGGGAATATGGAGAGGAGGAGGAGGATGTGGACGAGGAGGACGACGAGGATAGCGAGGACGACGGGGAGGAGGAGTCGAGATGGGGGAGGAGAAGAGATGGGCGGAGGGAAAAGAGGAAGGGCAGGAGGAGGAGGACGAGTGGGAGGAGAAGACATGCACGGCGAGGAAGGGGAGGACACGAGGAAGGGAAGGAGACGAGGAGGCATGGAAGATGAGGAAGTACGAGGAGGAGGAGGAGACAAGGAGGATGAGGAAGGGAAGGAGGAGGAGGACGAACAGAAGGAGGAGGAGGAGGAGGAGGAGGAGACGAAAAGGAGAAGGGAGGAGGAGACATGGAGGATGAGGAAGGGGAGGAGGAGCAAGGTGAGGCAGTGTCCTGTAAATTTTTTTTTTCATCTCGCTTATAATTTTGGCGGGGGGCCTCAAACACACCGTTTCGACCCCGGCCTTTTATTTTTTATCTGAGGGGGGTGACGGGTCGTTCTCCGCACACTCATGCGCCGCACGGGATCGGTTGGGCGCGTGCGTCGCATGTAGGGAACCGCCCGCACGACGTGCGCTTGCATGTATGGTCCGGGTCGGTCGATGCGACATCACATCCAAACCCATTCAAACCTTTCACGCAAACAAGCGCAAAGCGCCCGGATCAGTTGATAGACTCGATACGACATCATGTTCGGGCCCATTCAAATCGTTTCATGCAAACGACAACAAAGCATCTTGATCAGTCGATACCACATCACGCCAAGACCCATTTCAAGCTTTGCAGGCAAACAAGAGCAAAGTGTTCGGATCAGTCGATGCGACATCACATCCAGACCCATTCAAACCTTTCACGCAAACAAGAGCAAAGCGCTTGGATCGGTCGATACGACATCACGCCCAGTCCCATTCAAACCTTTCAGGCAAACAAAAGCAAAGTGTCCGGATCAGTCGATGCCAAATCACATCTAGACCCATTCAAACCTTTCATGCAAACAAAAGCAAAGCGCTCGGATCAATCGATACGACATCATGCCCAGACCCATTATCGCAGGCAAACGATAGCAAGGTATCCAGATCAGTCGATGCAACATCACATCCAGACCCATTCGAATCATCGCATGCAAACGGTAGCAAGGCGTCCAGATTAGTCGATGCGACATCACATCCAGACCCATTAAAATCATCGCATGCAAAAGTCATGAGTTTTTCCACAAGCATATGAATTAATCAGGCATAGTAGAGTTCCCCTTTGATTCAATTATAAGTCTTGGAAAAAGAAAGTCAAAAGATAGATATACGAAAGTCAAAACCAAACCAAATAACGCGGGGTCGTATAAGTAGGGGGTTATTGGGATTCTAATGGAATTGTGTCGGCCTACCTCTGAGTTCCCTGCCTCCAGAGTCGGCTCCAGTAGAGCTCCCACAATCAGTGGGTGGACCTCCCACAAGGTGCAGCGGAAAAATGAAAAGCTAGTGAAAGCCATTGGGCTTACAACACCCTGATATGAAACATTGTGATTCGTTAATCCCTCCCTACCCCATACCCGAAGATGTCAGTTGTTACGATCCTGGTCATTCCCAAAGTGCAAATTCACAATGAAAGACAATGCCACCCAATTGCGAAAGAAATGAAAGCACTTGCAAAGAGATAGAGACCAGATGAGAGAGAAAGAAGATGAAGAAGAAGAAGAAGAAGAAGAAGAAGAAGAAGAAGAAGAAGAAGAAGATGTACGCCAGCAAGACCAATGACAATTCCCCCTTCTCTCTCCACCTTCCTCCTCCTCCTCCACTTCGCCAATCTTATTCTTCTCCCAATAATAATAATAACAATGAGTGGATGAACCAGAATCAATATCCAAAGTTCCCTCTTACTGCTGACTCAACAACAACAACAACAACAAGTCCACCATAGTTATGGCTTCCCTCCTTCTCCCTCCTCTCTCATGCATAGGCTGTGGCGGACTACTGAGGGCCCTGCCCTCCTGTCCAAAGGACAACCCAAAGCAGCTATGGCGCTGCACTCCTGTCCAAAGGACAACCCAAAGCAGCTATGTTGCTGCCTACTGGTCCRCCATGCCTGACTCTGCCTCGAGCTTCCKTGGTGCGGCACTACCCCAACTGGGGCCTTCCRGATGCAGCGCCCAACAAGGTGAKGAAGRCGGTGTCCACCATAGCCAGGTAGGTGCCTCGCCACTCTCCTCCTTCGCCCCCCTTCTTCCTCCTCCTCAGGCTGAGCTGCTCGCCATAGCCAGGTTGAGCGCCAGCTGCCCTTCACCTCCAAGCAGCGCTGTATCAGCCAGCGCTGTGCTCCAGCAGCATGTCGCCAATCCTTGCATACCGCAAATGAGGAGGAGCTACTTGCTCCTTCGGAAGATATAGCGGCCTACTGGCCTCTTGGGCGTTGACTTCCTAGGCCGAGCGGCCTCCCAACAACCGGTACCTCCTCCCTTTCGGAGGGAAACATCATTGCAGGCTCTGCTATCCTCCGGACAGGCCCTAGACCCGGGCTACTTGGACTGGTACCGGCCTACCTCTAGCCTACCGCTACTGGGCCTCCAAAAATGCCAAATTTTGTCTTCTTCTGCTCGGCCTCCAGTACCCGACGCTTCTACCACTACTTCAGTGGTACCGGCCTACCTGCTACTTGAGTGTTTTTCCCCTCTGCTCTAAGTGTCGCGGGCCGACCCCCGCTACTCGAGTGTTTCCCTCCCTGCAACCCTCAAAGTCACGGCCAYAGGTAAGTACCGGCCCTGCGGGGCCTTTCAACCAACAAGTACCCTTGCGGGTCACACACACACTCAACCGACAAGCACTCAGACAGGCATGCAAACCAGCAGGCACGCACACACACACAAACATGGAAATCACAGCAGAATGCAGGAATTTCAGCAATGCATTCATTCCAGCGGCAAATCCCAGAAATCAGCAGTGTTCTCAGTCTGTGTTTTTGTCGGGTCATTACACTACCCCCCTCTCAAGAGCGAGGTCCCTTTGAGCGAGTAACTCATTCAGAGTCGGTACAAAATGCGTCGTAGGCGTAGATCAGAAAGAGAGATTTAGTAATACCGTAAGGAGTGAGTTTTGCAGAAAACTTAGCAGTCTGTCCATCAGCGATCTATCGTTCATAAGCGTTCACAACACGTGGAACATTCTTTAGTAGTTATTTCCGGTCGATCCAAAAAAACTCGTTCAACGGGTGATAGAGGAAGTGAACCTTATACTGTATGTTCCTCCTTTTGCCTTAATGGGAAACGATTCTGTCTATTTCATGGCCGCCGTCGATAGGACGAGGTATCATAGGATCTCGGAAGGGAAAAGTTTCATCATCGATGTGTGGAAACAGTTTGGATGCGTGAAAGACCGGATGTGTGCGCAGATGAGGAGCCACGTCAATCACATATGAAGGACCAAATTCATCCCCAATCACCTTCAGAACCTGCCAAGGGTCAAAGTACAATGGAAGAAGCTTCCGTGATTAGCCCTCTTCATCAGAAAACTCAGACATTTTAACCCAGACATAATCCCTTACTTTGAAGTTCGCTTCTTTGCGCGACTTGTTAGCAGGTTTGATCATGGCATGCTGACGCTTGTTCATTGCTGCAATAGCAGCTTTGAGCAGGCGTGAGTACTTGGCATTGTAGCCAGGCATGCCGGGCGTCAGACCAGGGAACTGTTCAGGGAACAAATAGGAGAGAGGATTGCGCATCTGCCAACCATATTGCAGTTGATTCGGTGTTACGCCAGTTGCCAAGTGAATGGAGTTGTTGTACAACCCTTTCACTTTGTGTAACTCCTTGTCCCACGTGTTCTGATCTGGAACAATTAGCGCGCGAAGCCATTGAATGACAGTCTGGTTGATTTCCTCGGCCAATCCATTGGCTTCGGGGTGTCGACCAGAAGTCTT